TAATAAAAATATAGATCCCAAATATTAAATAAAATATAATGTTAAAAATAGAAATATGATAATAAATATAGTAATAATTAATATAGAAAGTAAGAATAATTATAAAATAAATAAAATTATAATAAAATATAATTTTTCATAATTAAAGAAAGATTAAGAAATTAAGAAATTTTATGTCATTATGGTAATAATATATTATAACTGTATTATACTGTATCTACTATATTACATAAATAGGTAATTAATTATAATATTAATATTTTTTATTTAAAAATCTAATTAATAATAATATTTATTTTATTAGATATTCATAAGAAAATTTTTATTAAGTTAAATATAGAGTTTAATATAAAAAAATTTATAATAAGTACTAAAATTACAAGATTTTAATAAAATTAAATTATATAAGATAAAATAATAAAATATATTTTAATTTATTCTTAGATAATAACTTTATCTTAAATTTTAATTTATTTTTATATAATTTATACTTTTTTTAATAATTCTTGATAATTTAAAATGATATTAAAATATATTAATTATTTGTAATATATATAGATATTTAAAAATTTTTAATATAAGTTAATAAGTTATTTACAAAAAAAATTTATTAAAATTAGAACTTATTAAAAAGCTTTATATTTTTTTGAAATTTAAAATATGAAAAATATATAAATTAATATAAATATATTATATTAACTGATATAGATTTATATTATATTAATTTATTATACAAATTTATATTATATTAATAATTTATTCTATATTATTATATATAATTATATTATGTATAAATAAATAGATTTATTAATTAAATAATATTAAATAATAAATCATATATTTCTAAGCTTAAAAAGATAATAAAAATATAATTTTAAAATTAAAAATATTAAAAACTAAAATATAATTAAAAAATTATTAAGCATATTTTCTTTTATTATTTTTTTAAGTAAAAGAAATATAAAAATAAAAATATATATCAAATAATAAATTAAAACTTTTTATTATATAAAAAAATATATAAAATTTAATTAAATAAATTAAAATATAACTTATTTTAAGTTAAGATTTTTAATTATTAATATTTTTAAAATAGAAAAAATAAATATTAATTAAATATAATCTATTATAATAAAAAAGATAAATAAAAGTAATTATCAAAATAAAAATTCATGAATAATTATAAAATAAAAAATTCAATTATTAAATTAAATTTAAATTTAAATTTTTAATTAAATTTATTTCAAGTTTTAAATATTAATATTTATATATTATTCAAGATTATATAGAATTATTAATATTTAATAAATATTTTTATAAAAAACTAAGCTAAATTTTTATAAATAATTAATAAGTAACTAATCTAAAAGCTAATAAATAATTAATAAATATTTAATAAAAAGCTATTAAATATTAAAATAAAAATTATAAGTTATAGCTTCTATAATTAATATATTAATTATATTTTTATAAATTATAAGATTTAAAAAAATATTTGATTAATTAAAATTATAATCTCTAAAAATCATAAAATCAAAGAAATTTATATTATTATAATAATAATATATAATTAATTAAATTATTATTAATATCAATTAATAATCTATAATATATATAATAAATATATTAATTAATAAAATAATAACTATATAATAAATATAATTATCCAAAAAAATATAAGTAATAATAAATAATATTTAAATAAAATAACAAATGAAAATTTTAATCATAATAATAATAAAAATTTTTTTCTTGAAATCTAATATTTAAATTCTATTTTTATTTAAGTATTTAAGTTTATTAAGTAAAAAAAAAAAAATTAGTTTTTTAGAATAATTTTATAATAAAATATACTTATTATAATTAGCAAGTTTTTGATTAATCAAAATATTTTTCAAGATATGAAAATTTTTAAATTTAAATATAAAATTTAAATTTTTAATATTAGCAAAATAAATATTAATTATATATTTTATTTATTTCAAAAATAAGATTTTTTATTTATGGCCTTTTGAACTTTTAATCAATATTTTATATTATAAAAGTATGTACTCTTATTAAATTAAAAATTTTTAGTCTTATATAAAGAACTTAATATAAAATTATAGTTTTTTATATCATTATAAAGTGCTGCATAAATTAAAAATTTTATCATAATGTTGCTTTTATCTTTCTGGATTAAATCCAGAACATATATATCGGGAAAAATTTTGTAGCCAATCAAATTAGAAATTGTAGATAGAATTACCAGTTCCACAAAATTGGGTGCTTATATAGAGGTGTGACTCTATAGGATGTGATTAATAGAGGTCTGCCTCTATAATAATTATCGATGTATTTGATAATAACAATAATGAATTAACCAAAATAAACAAATTAACATTAATAATAATATCGATAACGAATATATTATTAAATCTTTCTAAAAGTGATTAATAATATGGAATTGATGTATGTATAATGATATCATTATACATATAACTCGTATGATTTTCTCGATGCAATTCTGCCACTTCTTTGAGGGTTTGACCTTTGCGTTGGAACTGTCATAGAAGGCTAAAGTTTTAGGGGATATTTTTTATGTCTCCAAATGATGATATACGTAATCGTCATTGTTTGCTTTTATAAAATTTTGAAATCTTGAGTATGTTCAAAGTCTTTGGTACTGGAAGTGAGGATTGAATATGAATATTTTTCTCACAACCTTGTTTTGAATTCTTAAAATTCTTAAATATGATCAAAGCATTCTGATCGGGCGACAGAGGACGCTTTCATCAGAACAAATAATTGATTTTTTCCTAATAAATTGTTTTTTGTTTCGTTTTAATAAAAATTATTCAGGATAGCATTTTTTTATCATTTCGTGTATCGAAAAATTATATTTTTGAATCGCCATGATTGAATCTCGGGATTATCGTTCTATGCAGCTACATGTAGTATGATAATACATGTACTAAGCTAATATGGTGCACCATTTTAATTACAACATAAATATTTAAAAAGGTGGAACGAAATCGTCTGATTTAACAACTTTATTTTTGGTTGTTATTATTGTTTTGTTTTGCGATATCATTTAAGCAGAAATAGTTACATATAAAATAGTATATCTGATATATTTAAATTTTTACAGTATAAATAGACAAACCAACCCTACAGAAATTTTTCTACTCTCATCAATCACCATCATCAAATCAATCATTTCCCATCTATAAAAGGGACAATGTCTTTTATTATACGCCCACTTCTTCAACGTCGTCGTCCTTCTCACGAGTATCAACCTTTGATTGTGCGACATGTTGAGAATCATTTTGAGTCGCCTGAAATTGTTCGGGATATTGTAATTGGATTGAGTGATGGATTGACGGTAATTTTTTTGACTTGAACATGTGAAATATTTTGATCCGAAAAATTCAAAAAAATCTTCATACGTAGGTTCCATTTGCATTGGCAGCTGGATTATCCTCACTGGGTGATTCACGACTTGTCGTAATAGGAGGCTTAGCTGGTTCGTATATAATCTACCTATCGCTCGATCTAAAACGTTTTATTCAAAGAAATCGGATATACCTTGATTTTTCGTTACAGAGCTCATTTCAGGTGCGATTTCTATGGGATTAGGCGGGTTTTTAGCCGCAAAATCTGAAGCAGATCATTATGCCACCGAAAGAGTCAGAGAAGAGAATGAAGTACGAGACTGCGTTGAAGAAGAAATCGACGAAGTTGTTGGTAAATTCTATAAACACTGATTAAATACTTGGGCGCATTCACGATTTCTAATTCCAATATTAACATAATTCCAGAAATTCTCGAACCTTATGGTCTCGATCGTGCATCGTTAACTCCATTAATCGATAAATTAGTAGCCAATCCAGAAAAATTCGTCGATTTTATGATGAAGTTCGAATTAAATCTTGAAAAACCGGACCCTCATCGTTCATGGGTGCGTACTCTTTTACATGAAAATTAATATTTGAAGCTATGAGGTTTGAATAATTATTTGATTTACAATAATGATTCAGGTTTCAGCCTTAACAATTGGCCTTTCCTATTTCTTTGGCGGATTCATTCCCTTAATTCCATACATGCTAGTCGACTCTGCAATGACCGGATTATACATTAGTGTAGCCGTCACATTTTTCGCTCTACTATTTTTCGGTTTTATTAAGTCGTTTTTCATGTCACCAAAGAATACTATTAGCGGTGCAGTTAATACCGCAATGGTTGGGATGTTGGCAGCCGCAGCTGCGTTTGGGCTTGTTAAAGTTATTGAAAAATTTTAGCTTGCTAGAGTATGATGCTCTGTTTTTAATGCATGATTTTTGAATAGATATTACATGACTGTCTCGGAATTGACTTATGGCAAATAAAACAAATATTTTATTTGAAAATAATTTAAAATTTACAAGGTTGGCCGGATCAGTTCAAGCAAATTTTCTTGGACTCATCCAAAATATCTAAGTTTTATGAGAATTAAAACATTATCACTTGAACTATTGTTAGATTTGGACCTGGATTCAATCTGAAATTTTAATTTGAAATTACGATACTCGTTATAAATATATTTTTTGACTTTAAAGCTAATTGGTTTTGTTATTGAAAAATCACCTCTGCTAAAAAAAGGACTTTTGCGATTGAGGTTGAGGCGTGGTTACGACCAACCAAATTGCAAGATTCATGTGTAACACAAACATTTCATATATAAGCTTTTGTATTTGAAATTTGCATATGTCAAAACAAAATTGTTCCTTGAGAATTCCGCTCTCGATATCAGAAAGTTATTGGGTCCAACAAAAAATCCTTCTTATATCTATATTGAGAATATTGCTCTTATATCAAGAATTTCTTATATCAATGACTTCACATATAGTGAAGAATTTTCTCAGAATCATTAATAAACATCAACCGATAATATTCTCTTTCTATGAGATTTGAGTGCTAACACTAATTCTAGCTAAAAAAAAGCTTGGGTCACATGTAAAATTATTTCGCAAAGCATATGTTAAATGCCCCCACCAACCATTTTCATTGCTGGGTTGTTCAAAAATTTGCGCAACCCTTATTGGTTCATACTACCCAGAATGTGATATATGCAGAATCTTAATTCAAGACATGTCATAAATCGGTATCACAAATCTGCAATGCATGTATCATTGTGATATAGGAAAAATGAAACTTGTATAGTGCATATTTATTTTATTTAAATTTTTTATATATTCTCGCTCTTTAATATCCGTTAGAACTTATTTATCGTCATTCTTTTTACATTATTCTTAGAGAAAACCCGGAAATAATTTAACCTATTTATTTAATATAAAACATGGCTAGAGAGACGAATTTATCGATAGACACCGCTGCAGCTGCTCGTGGTAAGTGTTTGCCTGTTATATTCAGATATATATGCAATGTATGCAAATAACATCTCGAAAAAAAAATAAAATCAGGCATTCAAAAGTCGTCAGCGCACAAGAAATCTGAGGACGACGTAGTTGAAGAAGGTGAAATCGAAGAGGAGGACGATCTCGCGTCATCGCCTGATATCCCAGACGAGAATATCGATTTCGATCGCGTGTATGCCCTACATAATTTTGCAGCTACAGTGGACGGACAAGCAAGTGTCGAAAAGGACGAACCATTGACTCTGATGGATGACTCTAATAGTTACTGGTGGCTTGTAAAAGTGTTGAGAACTGATTCGATTGGTTATATACCGGCCGATAATATTGAGGTATTTCTTGAATGTAACGTTTTAAGTTTTTAAAATTACTGCTCTCACATGAATATTATTTAACAGACACCAAATGAACGGTTAGCAAGATTATATAAACACAAGAATATCAATGTGAGTCATTATATTTATATGGGAGGCGGTTAGTAAAAAACTAAACAAATCTATTAGAGTAATTTGCTTTGTTTTTTTAATGACAGCTCCATATATCAAAAACAACTATTGAATAATTCAAAAAATATATGCTAATCAATAAATTGTTCATGAAAAGTTATCATCTTCATTACATAATGGAAACTTGCCACCAGCTGGAATTCCATTAAAAAAAAGTAAAGGGATGCGGAAAGAGGTCACTTTTACCACATCTGTAACTGTTGTAGAAGCATCCGAGGACGACGAAGAGGAAGAAGAGGAGGAGGAGGAGGAATATTTGGGCGAAGACAATACAGGCGAACCTCACCAAGATGAATATGAAGAGGAAACAGAAATAGAAAGAAGTGGACGGGCAGGAGGAGGAAAAGAAGAAATAATAAATAATGAAGCTGTGGTGCAAAATCTTGAAAATGATGCAGAGATGGTAGAAGATGATGAGGAAGATGATGGAAATAGAGGTGATGGTGAAGATGATGTATATTTGTCAGAAGAATATGTTGAAGTGAAGGAACCGGAGAGATCAGAAGAATATCATGGACCAAATGATGGTACTCGAACATCTGAAGATCATCTAATATTTGATGGACAGCAGCAAAGGATAAATCAAAGTTTTGATGAGTCTCGTGATAATAATCAATTGAGGTATAACTCAAGGCCAGAAAATGCGAATATCAATGATAATAATAATAATGGTTCCATAAATGGCATAGAACAATTCAATAATCATAACGGAGCGATTCCTATTATAGCGAACAATAGCCTGTTAGCAAATCAGTCACCATCATCACAGAATATAATCATGAATAACAATATGAACATTGTGCAAGAACATTCTGGCGGGCCAGATCCAAACCAACCACCAAAAAAATCCGATGACATTGACATCCGATTATTTCAGCAAACAAACGAGACGAAAAAGATTACGCTTACACCACCACTGCATAGTGAACGTAGTGATTTTCTCGATATGTCGGATGACGATGATGACGCTGCCGACTCAAATAGCAAAGCTAGTAAATTTTTCGGTATTGGAGAATCAGATTCCAAGAAAAAAGTATCAATGGACGACATAATAAAAGACCTACCACCTGAACAAAAGAGCAAAAAGAAGGAAAAGAAGGAAGGAGGAATACTTAAGAAATTATTCTTTAAGCGTAAAAATTCTAAGAAAGAAGAAGAAAATAAATCGTCAACATCGAATACAGCAGTTGCTATTAATGTTTCCGTGAAAAATTCAATCGAACCTTCACAGCAGCCATTACAAAATCATCATCGTCCTCCTACTCAACCATCATTACAACAACAGCGACAGCAATCACCACAAATTAATAATCAATCTACGTACCCACAAGGTCCACAAATACGTTATCCTCAACAACCACAACCACAAACACCTTCACCTCAAGTAGTTCAACCACAGCAACCACAATATCAATTTCCCAATAATCCTCCTCCAGCTCAGGCCGAAATACCACAAAAATTTAAATCAACCACACAACCACAATCAAATCACCCTCACCATATGCAATATTCGAATAATAATAATTCACCTCAAATTATAAATGCTTCACCGGAATCTATCAAAGTTCAACCTGAGCCACAATCTCCTACAAAAACAACCCCTCTATCCCCTCTGACTAGTGTTTTCCGTATATTTGCAGGACAAAATATTCAAACAAACATCGAATCAAAGACAATTTTATTAAATAATTTGACCACTGCTAGTGATTTAATACGTCAATCATTGACGCGATTTAAATTGGACAATGAAGAAAATTGGGAAAATTATTATATAAGTGTTAGACCTATACACGGAGGTAAATTAATAATTTATCCGTTCATTATTAGATATTAGTTAATTTACTGATTATATTCTTTTTTTTTCTTTGGCACAGAAATCATAAATCTAATGCCAGATGAACATCCCCTTGAAATCTATAATTCATTTAACACCTCTCCCTTACCGACAATAAGACGCGCTTCCAATTCTTCGATTTCTTCCAACGTATCAACCGTATCCAATCATCAAACGATAAAAGCACTCAACATTAATGAATACGTTCAAAGAAGCTCCGTACAAATCTACCTAAACAAGAAATTGACACAACGTAATAGCTATCCGTCGGGTGAAAAAAGATTACGCGTGCATATATTGATATATGCAGATGATTTACCTCCACAACTCAGAAAAGGAACATCTGTGCCACGAACTTCAATGTCCGTGCCAAAGCACTTGGCTGATAAAGCGGCTAGGAGGCGATCACATGGCGAAGAAGGAAAACCAAAAGAAAAGGTTTTGCTTGTGAATGGAAGAGCAACAGTGAGAGATGTTATTGAGAAAGCACTGGATAAGTTTGGTATAACTGAAGCTCTTGTAGATGATGACGAAGATATTGAAGGCGATTACGATGGAAAACTTAGATATAAGTTGATGTTAATATCAGAAGGCGAAGGTGACTTTGTTTATTAAAGAATATTGATAAAAAAGAATTACATACTAATTCAAATGTATTCTATTTAGAAATAGCGTTATCGCCTAATTCTCAAGTAATCTCAGTCTTCCCATCAACCCCGAATTTTCAACATTCATCGATCGATTCAATAGAATCTGCCAGTTCACTCACTGCACCAGATTATAACCCTGATGAGCCAATATTTGTCCTTCGACAGAAATACATTGATGAGCATCAGCGATATGCATTACCAAATATTATCATCAAGTCTAAAGCAGAGCAAGCAAAAAGTCATCCAGCGGTTATTGATTCGCGTGAAAATAGTAATGATAATAATCGTAATCATTACTATCCAAATGATCAACCGTCATTTTCAAATCCACATGAGATCAATAATAGTACTACTGTCAATAGCGGTAGCATAATTGAATTGCCTAGCCAACTCGAAAAGATTGAAGAAATTTTGACACGAAAACAATTAATTGAACAACAACGTGAATACAGTCGAGCTAAACAACGTTCAATTCTTTCAGCGCACAAAAACTCTGAAAAAGGTGTTGATATTGTAACGAGCGTCGGATCAATCCGTAGTTCACGAATATTTGGCTCGAAAGTTCGATATTCGTTTATTCCAAAAGAGGGAGAGCAGTTCGATATAAGTGATATAATTGAGGATATTTGGGGCGAGAATCTAGGTGAAGAACAAAATAGTGATGGAACACAGTCAATTCCGAGGTTCAACTTTATCCCCGCTGAAGAAGATGAACTCGAAGAGAATGCTCCGTTATTTGAGAACGTTTCAGTTGATTCTTCGAAGCATAGTAAAAAAGAAAAACGTCTAAGCACGAGAAACACTGATATTTTAGAAGTAATTGTAGATAGTGCAAAGTCTAATGATAAGATTGTAAATCAGGTTGTGGATGACAAAATTGAGCAAGTTTTACAAAAAGTAACAGCAGGTCAGCATGCAAATGGCAATATTCCTAGCCCTACTTCAGTTTTGGATGATCAAAAACTTGCTGATTCTAATTTAATGTATCAAGCATTCGACAATTTCACAAGAGAACAATCATCGTCACAATTATCTTTACAAAATAATAATATACCTTCACATATTTCTAATCCAAATGACATCGAATCCCATCTTGATTCTTCGTCAAACTCGACATCAACCCTACCAACATCTGATAAAGGATTCACTCAAAATCTCGATTCCTCGCCTCGTATGACTCCAACACAACCACAATCATCACTTCATTCACCATCGAAAAAGTTGCACGGTCGAAAACGATCACCCTCGAATGTGTCAAACAACTCTGTAAACATAACAAATTCCTCACAAGATGCACTCCCGCCAATGAACACTGCATCATCTTTAACCGAAAATGATTGGATATTATCGGATGACTTTGGATTACAGGAATTACTAATACTCGTTAGATCTGGTGTCAGTATGATTGAACAGAAAGAACGTCGTCGAAGTGGATGGCGTTTATACGATGACCCGGAAAAAGTTCTCGAACAAATTAATCCAGCCGAATTTCGAGAGGAAATTAAATCAGTGTTTGCCAATGTCAATAAAGAATTAGATGATATAGAAAATGTAAGTCTAATTCATTTTTTTTTGTTTGTTTCGCTTACCTACTTACTCTCGATATATGATTATTCTTTATATTTATTTTATAGCAACTTGATTTAATAATGGATGATGCTTTGTGTCTGTTTTAATAATGAATTCCAATCCTTTTTTCCTCTTATTCCCCTCGAACCATAATCAGACATTCACTTGCTCATTTAAAACCAAATAATATTAATTATTGATTGATGAAAATGATAGTTTTAATTCATACTGTACCTCTTACTGTATTTTTATTCGACTTATTTAATTCAACTAGAGCTGTACTATATATTTATATTTATCATATATAATTGATTCATATGTGAATATACAATGTGTGTTTTGTGATTGGGATTTGTGCCGATGCAATTTAACAAGAAAAAAAGTAAAAAATTATAATGTAATACAACAAATTTTTTTTTGCAGTGTAATAATAAAATGAGAATGAAGAAAATGTATATATGCGTGTGATGATTCCGAAGGGAGGGGGTTGAAAGGTTTTTCCTCCTCTAGTTAAAGCAGAATGCTTAAAATGTCATAAATTTAAAAATAAGAAATAAAATATGAATTTAATGTTCAATTTTTGTTGATAATAAAATTCTAAATATTTTAAATTATATAGTAATAATGATAATAACAACAACAATAATATAACAATAGTATAATAATAATAATAAGAATAATAATAATAATAATAATAATATAATATATAAATATATGTTATTATTATCACATTACTTTGAATTGTAAACGTTTGACCTTTTTTAAATTTAATGGATTTCTGCAAAGTGAACACATCTTCTGCACTTTCACGGCCTGAGTGATACATTCACGGCAGAATATGTGACCACAGTTGGTGTAAGAAACATTCGAAGGGGGTTCTAAGCATATTGCGCACTTAATTTCCAATATTGGAGTTTTGTATGTTTTCTTAGCTGATGGATAATGTTCTTCGCATCCTGCTGGATCATCATCAATCACAATAACATCTTTCGATGAAGAAACACAAACATCCGGGCTCGAAACTACTGTTAGATCTACGACATCGGGAGTGCGTGTTCGTTCCTCAGGTGACGAAATGTTTGTAAGATCGATATAGGGAATTTCATTATTACGATCATTGTTGTTAAAAGGTGTCCCGAGATCATTAGAAAATACCGAACGAATGGAAGGTAATGTTGGAGCTCCGGTACTCCTGTCTTCCTCGCGCAATTGATTAATGGGAGGTAGCGTATCTGATGACGATGATGATGATGCCGATGATGCCGACGGGGATGGGGACGAGGTGGAGGTGGAGGTGTACGGTGAAGATGAAGATGCTTGAGATCGGTTATGAGATGCCATAGCAGAGGAATTTACAATTGCATTTGTGGGGTGAATGAACAAAGGAGGTAAAATTATTGGAATTCCTTGTGCGTTTCGTGAAGACTCAACAACTGGATCTTTCCATTAATGATTTTATTAACGCAAGCAGTAAAAATTAAGTCACCTTCTTTTATTACAATTAATAATGAAGAAATAATTTACATACTTGATGGACCTTCCGTCCTCCTCCTTTTAGATCTGGTTATCCCTCGTGTATTATTTATTTCATCTTCGAACACACGATTATTAACAGAAGCTTTACTCCCAACTCTGCTCTTTTCTCGATTACTACCTTCTCCAAATCTCGGGTTATCCTGTTCCAAAGCGAAACAAAGAAGGTAAGAGATATAAAAAAATCTTATATTACATTCGCAGAACCCAAGTCAGCATCACTCACACGTTAAACACTCACCATCAGTTTTTTTAATGTTTGGTAACAATGGTACGTACAACCTTTTTTTGGTACAGTAACAAATCGAGTTAATTAGCAAAGTAAAAAACAAACATAAGGTAAAAGACAGTGTAAATATGAGGCGACAAAACAAAAGCGTGGAGAATATTTATTACCTCGCGGCAAATAAATTTAATCTACTTGAGAAGAAAAGTCACAAAGGGAAAGGGTGTAATTTTAGTAATTTTACGCATTATAACCATTTTCAGTGTTTTGTTTGAATTGTGTAACAGTCACGAGAATAATAAATGGCTTTGAAAAAAAGAAAGAAAATTGTACAAGGTATTAATCAAGCTAACAATAAAAATAGTGACAACCCCTTGATATAAATAAACATAACATAACACACCAAACCATCATGATGATAATTAAATGCTATATTCTTTGACAAGGAAACATGAGATGATGATCAATTTTTTTGCCACCCCTGCACATGTTATATCGCCACTGGATGCCTTTAAATTTTTTATTTCGTTATCTTCATCGATGATGATTGTGATGATGGAGTGTCTCACATAACAATTTACAATGGAAAAAAATCAAATTAACTTTAAAGATAAAACGCAAAAGGAATCGAAAATTAAACGAAAACACATCGAATAAGTATTCGTCAATGAGGTGTCTTTGTACAAGCGTAAAAATAAGAGAAATAAATTACAAGGGTAATAAGAGAAGGGGAAAAGATGATGGATATAAACAAAAAAAAAGTAGTAGTAGTAGTAGTAGTAGTAGTAGTAGTAGTAGTAGTAATAGTAGTAGTAATAGTAGTAGTAATAGTAGGAGAATATACAAAGAATTAATAATAATCGATCCTTATATCACATTAACAATACCCTAATCTCAGTCCAAACATTCAATTTAAAAAGGAAATTTCTTTTTTTTACGCATTAATTCCTGAACGCCCTCTTCCACCACGTTGTGTCACCCCTTTACTATAATGTCCACCAGCAACGGCATTATTCCCACCACGTCCATTATTTGATCTTAAGATATAATTATTTCCTCCACTTCCTCCATTGACAATGCCTCTTGTCAGATTATTAGTATATGCGCCACGATATGTTGTGGTATGAGACGATGGTATATTTGAATTCATATAGTTATTGCCATTCGAATAATTGGCTTGTGTTGGTATTCTTGTTCTAGTATGATGATAATTCGAATCATTTATCGAATTTACATGAGTTCCATTATTATTGTTGTTATTGTTGTTGTTATTGTTGTTGCTGCTGTTGCTGTTGTTGTAACTTGCCGTTACTCCAACATTATTTCTCGAATAAACTTGTGATGGTACAAATTGTTGACCAGCGCGTGGACGAGGGATAATTTGTCTTGCATTTTGATGGTTTCCATTTATCATGGAATACGCACCGCTTCTACTTCCATTTCCTCTTGCTGAATTATTGTTGTTGTTGTTATGGTTTATATTATTATTATTATTGTTATAATTATACGAGTAACCGTTGACTCTTTGATGATAATTATTGGTTTGTGCTAATGCACTTTGTTGCCAATTGTACCCATGATGAGCATTCGTGTGTGATCTAACCGAGTGATTTGCGCGGTTGTTTTTTTCTTGATATTGAGGAGAAGTTAGATTAAGAAGCGCAGAACCTGGGACGGTCATTCCACGATATGGTGAACACCTGTTTCATTTAACTTATTATTAAATACGTATCGTCGCACAATTAACTCTCAAGATATTCGAGAAAGAGTAAAACAATAACAAACCTGTCTCCAAGAGTAGAGCCGCTCATAAATGAAGAATCGCAAACGACATCTATATTATGCCTTTCTATTCCTACAATAGTTCCTTTGGCGGCAATAGGAACACTTCCTGAATCCTGAACAAATACGACTCGATCACCAAGACTAAATTTTTGATCTTGAAGTCTAGTTGATGCATGGGAAGGCTTCAATAATGCGTGTCGAGGAATATTCTTTATATAAACTTTCTTGTATTTTGACCCTATTTTCAATAAATCTGCTGCAGCTTGTTCAATTTTATCAATTGCTTCCTATGATGGCAATACAATTCAATATAAAGATCGATACGGTTAAATATAGTCATAAAAAAAAATTTAATATACCTTATCTAGCTGCTCGGCTTCCAAAGCGACCCTCTCAAATTCTCGTACTTCCACCGACTTTAACCATTCTCTAATTTCATTGATTTTGTCTACCGCTACTTCTTTATCATAAAAATCTTCAGCTTTATATATTTCTACACGATTAACGATCTCGTAAGTATATAGAAAAAGCATATCCAGAAACTTAGATCAAATTACCATCTTTGTGCATATTTTCAAGCCCCTGGACAAATTCCGGGAATTTTCTCTAATGATTATCAATTAGTGATTTAGCATTAAAAATCAGTGGTCAGTTATTAAAAATACATAAATCAGATTTATACTTACCTTATACTCTTGTAATAATTGAATTGCTTTGTCACTATACTCCCATCCAGAATCTTTGGACTTTCGAGTATATCCCAGAACTTTTTGCTTCTTTGCTTCAAATTTCAAATTGAGCCCCAAATTGGATCTCTGCTCAGTTACTTTGCCAATAACATGTAAACTAGCTGTCAATTTACTCAAGGTCAATCCACTTATACCGAGTCTTTTTGCGACAACAAAAGACGGGTAATATCTCACTCGTCTAGTAAAGTCTTGTGCGATCTCCCTGCCAAATGCGGGTTCTTGTGCTTTGAGATTTTTTGGTACCTGAAGAATTTTATATGTATATATATAAGTTTGATGATAAAAATTTTAGAAATTATTTTAGAATTAAACTTACTAATAGTCGGATCTCCAAAAGTTGGTGGTCCCCATGAGCAATAACTTCAGCAGGACAACCATAATGAATCTTGCCTAAAAAGAAAACTTGTGTGCGCAACGGAAATTCATCTTCGATTGCAATAGGTGGTTTCTCTTTGAAACGAGTATCCTCAAATTCAACACTATCCACAGTCGTTTGAACTGCAAAGTCAATTTCGCTTCCTTCGCTAAGATATTCTTTTATTAAGGCACCGTCGTCTAATCGTTTAAGACCTGAAGAAAATAGTCAAATTAATAGAGTTATTCAAGATAATTTCCAACTAACTAGCTATATGCACCTTTTAACATTAGAACATGGACAACAACATTTACTGTCCCGGTAATTGTGCCCTGCCTTTTACTATAGTCTCGCTCCAATTTATCAGCTTTTCTTCTCCAGTTTTCAAGGACCTCAGTTCTATGAGGATTTTTTATTACTTGAGTTTTTCCGTTAGGCAATGTGGTTAACTCGTATCTGAAAAGCTCATCAGATATTACACTAACAAAACCCTCTTGTAAAAATGGCCATCCTAAAGAATAAATAACATTATTAATATATTCTCACCTTGAAAGATAATGAATCGAAATTTATATATATGAATTTTGTTGCTCACCAACATAT